AAAAGTCACAAGAACAAATTCTACTTGAGACTAAAGTAATATCTTACTTAGTGGTCACTCTCGAGTTCTCTGTCACATTATGCCAGGTGTAGTGTGACATCACAATTCCACAGAAGAAAACGGTGAGGATACCACTTAAATAGAATAGCTGCAAAACAACTCACTTGTTTAAAAACAAAGTCATAAAAAGATTGATGGAATAGAACTCCAAACCGGTCACTAAAAGAGACTGCAAATTTCATAAAAGCTCCTTATAAGTAATCAGAAGCTTACTTCAGCCAGCATGTATGACAAGTACGCCATAAGCATCATGATTGCAACCTCACGGTCAGTCGAATGTCTGTAGGAGCATTGGTATACAAAGTTATCATCTTGACAAAAATCTTTAGTATCAAATCGACTAAGTCTGAGATAATTATAAGGTTTCTAACTCCATAGTGCTGTCACATCTTAAAATTCTTAAGAAAATATTGCTTCTAACGTGAAATAGCAACAAAATCAGTCTTAGATGTGATATAAAGAGGCAAAAGCACATTACAAGTACAATAGCCAACCTTCCAAAATAGAGCTTCTTTATGACATAAGCACTAAGCAGTCCGGTCTGCACAAAAGGAGAAAAGATGTTTGGTATTATGTGATTAAAAGTATTTCAGATACTTAGGCAAACTGCCCGACAAGAAAAAGAAGATGAAGAAGACTTACTACAACTCCCAATACAGTACTAGAGAGAAATAAGTAACCAAAATTTCCAATTAGCTGCAAAGCCACACTGGTGTTGATGTGTGATAGGTCAAAACTCTGGACTGCATTGAATAGCACAACAGATGTTGCGTCATTTACAACGCCTTCTCCAAATACCAGGCTGTAGAGTAATGGTGTCTCATCCTGACTTAGAACCTGAAACATTGTGAATATTTTGGTCAGGCCTAATAAGTTTACCACTTCCCAGTGAAGATTTTAATGCTAAAGAAAATGGCAAAAACGCACCTGCAATGTGCAGACAGAATCGGTTGCAGCAAAAATAGCTCCAATTGCTGGAAAACAAGTGATTATAAGAAACATAAATAATTGAAATATTGAATAAAGATGTGAAGGCCCTAATATATTTGTGCATGCATGCGCAAATGTGTGTGTGTGTGTGTGTGCGAGAGAGAGAGAGAGAGAGAGAGAGGTCACCAAGAAAATCCCCAATTGAGAGACCAAAATCCATTTTCTGGAAGATGGCAATAGCACCTGCCATAAAATGAGAAGAAAACAGTTACTAATAAATGATTGAAGTAAATAATGTCATTTACAAATAAAAAAACTTATGAGATGAGCAGAAAACGGTTATCATAATTTATAGTAACAATTTTTTTTTTTTTTCAGAAAGTAAACTCATTCTGCTTCCTTCAACAAGTTAATCTCTCGTCATTTCAAAAGTTTCATAATAAGACATAAATTACGACCTCTCAAAACAAGTAACTATAGTAAAGAATGCGCATGAACCAATCAGTGAGTTGTAACCACACATGCTGTTCCCCCCAATGTTCTTAGATAATGGTGCATAAATTCGAGATATTACAAATCTAATCGTACATGGCAAATGGACATCAAGAGCAACTTAAACTATATTTATTAAATCGGATCACCTTTCAAAATCAATAATTCTTCGAGTTTCAGACGTATAAAGGCTGACAATAAGCTCATAGGCAATAACTGAATGTAACGAAGTACTTGTTACAGTAAAGGCTCTCAATTTCCTACGAAACAACATTTTACAAGGCTTAAGAAAAGTTTTATCTTTTCGAATTGAAACGAGTTAGTTAAAACTATAAAAGTTAAGAAAGAGTAGGTGGAAAATACTACAGTTAGCAGCCAATAATTTTCTTCTTAGATGCTATCTATACACATGGATCAGATGAACCAAACAACGTAGATGGCCATACCCAGTGATATTATGATGAAGGATATCAATGTACCAACTGCACCGAACAGCATAATAGTAGAGAAATTTCGGAAGAATTGTTTCTTCTTTACTTGGAACCTGTTGATAGATGGAACCAAGCGAATGGAACTCAAAATTACTATATAGAAAACAATCACATTTCAGCAAAACAAAGTAAAACATATCCAACACAGATAAATAAAAGTAACTAAAAAAAAAGTAAAGCATAACCGACACTGATAAATAAAAGTTAACCCCAATCGCAGTTTAAGGAAATTTTTGGAGCTCCCAGGCTAGTAACTGAGAGTAAGCACATGGGAATTCACTCCCCCCCAAACCGAATACAGCTGATATGGAATATTATTAGCTGACTGCTTCACTAAAAAGAAAACTATAAACCTGGTTGTCATAAACACCATTGGATTTTATTTTAATACCATAGAAGTTTGTCAACATTGTGCAAGGAACAAAACTGAGGGTAGCAAATCATTCATAAACACACGAGGGACACTATTAAAAAAACAGATACAGTGTGATACATATTGGGATGTGTCTTGCAGCCCCCCTATAAGCAGATTACATAAAAGATTTTGGTTTCATTTTCTTTTTTACTAATCATGAAATGCTCTTTGTGGCATCCCTAGTTTTCTGTGTTCTCTCAGCCATCAAGATGTAATAGCAAGATATATTTAGTTTACTCGCGTTTCAAATCCTAAACTTAGAAAGGATCACTATCTTTTATAATACACATTATTATGAAAAAAATTCATGACGCAATCACTGGTTATATCCTAGTCGATGTACTTTCAAGACCACAAAAATGTCCACAAGTATTTGACACCTTAGCCAAAAGGACAGAGGGAAAGAAATCAGATAAATTCAATATGCAAAGCACCCTTGGGTTTCAAAGGTTATAGCATCTGGTAGGGATATTTAATTACCCAGCGTTGAAAATGATGGGAGGAAGCAGATAAATGAAGAAAAGATCCTCACTGAAAACCAAAAGATGTGAGCTCGTCCCTCCACTTGTAAGTAGAATTAAAACTCCAGTGCATATACCCTGTCATTTATGCAGGAAATAGAAGTGCTTGAAATACAATAGAGAAAATAATACACCAACCAAATAACCATGGAACCAAGAAAAGCATATGGCACAATTGGTAGAGTACTTACAATTATAAGAGCTGTAATCGATTCATTCATCCAACGACTTTCCTCCAGTAGATGACCAATCACAAAACATGCGCAAAGGAGTGTGACAAATACAGTAATTGAGACCACTGAAGTGTGGTCAGAGGTTGATAGTTTATTCATAGTCTCCATCATATTTTCAAAGTCGAACACCGTTTTCTTCAATTTTCAAATTTACCGTAAATCGAGAAGCTCTGCAGGTCTCTCAGATATGTCGGTATTCTTGACCCAAGAATTAAGCATAAACATATAATCAGCTCTAATTTGAAAGATAATCATCAATAAGGACTAATGTATACAAGCTATAGTTAGTTACTCTATCGATTAGTAGAAGCTCTCAAATTTCACGTGCATTCATTTCCAAACAGATGTGGCATATCATGCTTTGCGTTTTAAATACATATGTAGTTATATCCAAGACGACAAATGGCATAAAAAGCAACAATATTAATACTTACCAAAAAGTATCAGAGTTTACTTCGTAAAAATTTTATTCAAGCACAATATATAATATCCAAAATCTTGAGCGGATTAGCACAAGAACATACAAAGAAAAATACGTATAAATGCATGATGTATGCGTGTATGACAGTCATTGCCTGGTGGATTCAACAGCATCACATCAACTCATGCATGCATTTAATAAGAACTCTACCGATCAATTTTTCAAATCTTCTCCATTCATGAGGATGTATCCAAGGAATCCAACATAAACAACGTCGGCTTGTATACTGTATACTGTATACATCACGTTATCCAAGTAATCATTTTCATTACACATTACAGATACTTACATTAATTTTGTAAGGCCATAAATTATGTTTGTCTTATAAATCAACAAATGGTAAACAATTTACACGCATGGACACAAAATATCCAAACACCACCAAAGTAGACAAACTTTCTTGCAAATTGACGTAATCAAAAACAAAATCACGGGTTTAAGTTAAGGCAGCATGATTGNAATATCCAAATGCAAGACAAGATTTAAACACAAGTATGCTTTTTCCTTCTTCAGAAAAGCACATATTTTTCCCCTCCATATTCTTCTGGGCCAAACGAAACCAAGCAAAACCAACTCGGAATTTCATAAAAAATAAAAAATAAAAAATAAAAAAAACAAAAACAAAAAAAAAGAAAACAAAAAAGAAAAACAGAATGCAGCAAAAGATGGATATCGAAAACGTTGCTTTTCCTTACCTTGTGCAAACTGAAAGTCAGCAGAAATGAGACGCATCAAAATGAACGATTTGATTTCATTATTCTGATTTTGACCCAAATGCAAAAGAGCAAATCGAGAATTCAAAGACAGGCGTCGAACAAAATCGCCCTCAGCTTCTAAAAGCTTCGTAGAAAATCGGCAAAACAGAGAGAAAAGGAAGAGAGACAGAAAATGGAGGGAGTGCGTGTGTAGTGCGTGAAAAAGGGAAATTCGAGAGGAGAAAGGGAAGGAAATCGACACACATATATACGCACAGCTTTGTGGGGGAGAAATAAATTGAATTGAATTGACTACGACATAAAATAACAATTTACGTAGTGGGCGACCCTTGGTTGAGGACCTGTTTGATCTAAAAATGGGTTCATTTAAGGGAGTTTAAATACCACTTTTATTTCTGTTTCGGTCTTGATCTATATCTATATCTATATTTATTTATATCTACTTTAAAAGGACGAGTGTTTTTGTAAAAATATGAATTACCTAAAAAACTCTTAGTTTGACATATTTTTGGTAAATTACTAATACACTAATACACATCATATTTTATATTTTTAAATATTAAAATGAATTACCTAATAAACCCTTACACTGAGATGTTTTTAATGGCAAATTAGTAATATACTAATGTCCATCATATCTTATATTTTTAATTATAACTAATATTTAATTAATTAAATACAAATACATGAACAAATCATTCCACACTACTAAAATCAATTACAATATGTTGGTTTGACATCATTATTTCTCACGAATTTGTTTTCTTCCACATATCTCTAAAACTGTTTGATAGGATATAGAATTGTTGTTTTGAAAAATGTCATCATTTTTAATATAATTTTAATAATAATATTGTAATCACATTTCATAACTCTAATATATAAAAGTTCCTTAAAGAAATTAAAATTGATCTAACAAAAAAAGCATAATCAACACTTATAAAACTAGAAATCGATATTGTTTTTTTCTCATACCGACCACAAAGTATAGAACATTATTTTCAAAATAACCTATACAAAATGTGTAATAGTATGCGATATTAATTGTTGAATGATTGTTCTGCAACCTAAACTTCTAATCAATTCAATTTCTTCGATACATAAGACCAGAATAATTTTCTGAAATTGTATAATACTAAAACTTAATCTATTTGTTTTCACGTCATATGAGATACTACTTTAGCAACATGGATTAATTTTAACCATATAATTATCCACAAATAAATTAAAAATATCTCGAGAATCATAATATGATTTACATGTTGAAAATTAATTATTTTAATTAAATAATTATATTCATATATTATCATTACTCATCTATCTATTAATATGTGTTATTATAATAAAATGGTTTTTAAGAAAAAAATGTACGAAATAAAAAATTTATATATTTGAGTATAAATGAGAAGATTATAATTATATATAATATAATATAAAGATATAAAATTAATTGATATAAATAAGACATATGATTCAAAAAAGTGTTATACTTTAATTTTATGTATTTTTTAACAAACCTAAAAGTTATACACACACACATATATATTAAAATACATATGAAAGAACAGTTAAAGTTAAAAAAACAATAACTCTAATAAATAATATTAAATTTATAACTAAGTTGTAATACTTACTAATAACTATGGAAAAAAGTAATAAATAAAAATATTATAATTAGTAAAAGTACTTGTAGAACTTTTAAATTTGTATTTATCGACATAAGCAAATAATTGTAAATAATTATATTTTTTAAAATTTTATGAATAAAAGTTGACTCGACAATATTATTGATGAACTTATGAATTATAAATATTTAGTTGTAGTATAAATTAAAAAAAAAATTGTAATTAAATATAATATAATATAAGATATACAAATAATTGAAATATAATGAGACAGATGGTCGAAACAATTCTAGACTTTATATCATGCATTTTTTGACAAATCTACAGTTAAGAAAGAACAAGATAAAAGTTTAAAAAAAATATTAAATATGATAAATAATATTAAAAATAAATAAGTTGTGACACGTACTAATAAATATGAAACGAAGTAATAAATAAAAATGTTATAATTAATAGAAGAAATATAAACCTTTTATAAATATACTTATCGACGTAAACGAGCTGAGTTGTTAATGTTAGTTTTTTCTCCTTATAATTTTATGTGTAAATTTGATGTGATAGACAATAGTTATTTGTACATTTATCCATGTAAGTTACCAAAAAAAAAAATCTTTATTATTCTAATTTTAAATAACTTTTTATTTGCTATATTAGTTTTTTTTAATATAATATATAAATATCATATTGAACATATAAAATAGAAAATATTCTAATTTTTAAATATTTAATATGTAAGAAATATAACTCAATTGGTAAATTAATAGGTAATCTTGAGATAAAATAATGAGTGATTTCTGAAAAAACAAAAAACAAAAAAACAAAAATTTGGGAACTAAAAAGTTCATGTGTTTAATATATTTTTAATAGAAAAATTGTAAACACAATTAACCAATAAATACTACATAAAGAATTAATGTTTAAGAGGACTACAACAAATTTCTATATTGCAATGAAAAATTCAACGGTGAGGTAATCTACAGAAAATTCCAACGAATATTTCATAAATATTGCTTTCATTGGAAAATTTCATTGGCTATTCCAACAAAGTTCAAATTAAATTACTTAAACTTTAGTGGATTTAAAGATTTTAATTACTTGAATTTCCATTGGATTTTTTTTTTGACCATATTTCAATCGTTGGAAAAACTGTCATTGAAATTGTGCAAAAATTCAATGGAAATTCCATTAGAAAGCTAATTGCAGTGATAGATCTAAAATAATTTCATATTGGGGGCATTATTTAGTTAATAGAAAAAATATACCATCAAAATAACATGTCATTGTAATTTATAAATTAATCTATCACCTTTCTCATTTTGTAATACATTTTAATAAATCAATACAGTCACAATAAAATAAAATATATTTGAGAAACCAAAAAATATGATTTTTCTCAATTCAACTTAAGAAGATCATTATATTCTTGTTGTAATTTTCGTTGGAATTTTCTCATTTTCTTGTAGTAAAAGTAGGACTCCAAATCTATAAAGAAAAATTGCATTATATATAATATTGTGTGCAACTATTATTATGAAAATTTTGATATGATAGAAAATATAACACATTCAATGTAATTGTCGTTTAATTTATGATAATAAGTAATTTTTATTTCAAAACAAAAATAAGTAATTTTTGTTTCAAAACAAACAAGATACTTTGAAAGGTCCTTAATTATTTTATTAGTATTATAATAACTAAATAAGGGGTAAGAATGATGAGAAAACTTATAGCTCTCATTAAATCAAAGAGTAAAAATACTGATAAAATTACTTAATGTACAATATCAATTGGAGCTGGCTAATGAGAAATATAAAACATACTTAAGATACACATATATTTTAACTAGAACTTTTAGATACATAAAATATATATATATATATATATATAGAGAGAAGGGATCATATGAAAAAGAGGGGTAGTGAAAGAAATAAGAATGAATGTAAGCCTTTAGATTTAGCAAATAAGTGGTAATGATCAAGTCAAACTTTAATAATTCAGTCAAACATATAATGGTATTATGGTAAATATTTGAACATATAGTGGTCAAATATGTGCATTTGACCAATTATTAAGGACATAATAGTCATTAAAATAAACATCAACTCTGGTGGACCCCACCCTAACCACCCCATCCCCCTCTCTTTCTCGCCAACACAGTAAACACACAGAACTCACACACACACACCCGCCGCACACACACACACACTCCGGCAACAGCACACCACCACCCGCCTGCCGCCTCACAGTCGTCGTCCCCCACTAATAGACCACCGCCGACCACAGAGATGGCCTCCACCAGCCGAACCGCCTCTGCTGTCCGTCGCAAGCTTTTTGGCCACCGGAGACGAAGACGTCAGCCACAGCCCGAAGCTTCACGCCGGACATGTTCGGTTGTGCTTCAACGCAACTCCTCTTGGCGGGATGCCGCCGTTTCGAGGCCGCGAAATCCACCCCGACCTACCGGAGCCTTCGAGTTGGTCGCGGATGCGGGAAGACGTCCGCCGCCGTCATCGCCGGAATACAAATAGTCACTGAAGATCGGCGATTGGCAACATGACCTTCTCGCCGAGAGATGAAATCAAATCAATAAATGCTGGTGAAGGAGACGAAAATGTACAGATCTAGTTTCAAGAGTTTAGGGGCATGTATTTGGGAATTTGATAAATGTAAGGGGCTTAATTGCAAATTTAGGGTTTTTATTAAATTTCAATTTAGTACATGGGTGAAATCTATAATTTATGAAAATTATATTAACCACACAATAATGATAATGAAAGTGTAAAATATTATTTAATAATTGAATATTATAGATTGAATGAAATATAATTGAATAAAAAAATATTATATAAAAGTAACTAAAATTTAATTGAATTGAAATATAAAATTTCGAATCGAAAATTTTAATTCGGTTAGTTTGGGCGGCTAGTGCAATCTGATAGACATTGACGTGCAATTTGTATAACATCATTGTGCAATTGTAACACATATAAATACAAAAAAAATATTAATAATAATATTTTTCATGTAGTTACTTAGGTTTGGTTTTTTTTTTAGTTATTTGAAAAAAAAAATGCTGACCTCAAATTGAAATAATCGTGATTTTAGAAGTAAACACATATTATCGAACCGAAACGTAAAATTTCAAATTGAAAAAATTAGTTCAATCGATTAAATGCAATTCGATATTCATTAATGTGCAATTCATCCAACAGTATGGTGCATTTGCAGCGCATGCATTTTTATTAATTTGTTATAACCCAAACTAAAATCAAATTTAAATAATCGGTAACCGAAATACTATAAATCTTGCGAATAATTCAATATTTAAATTATAAAAAGAAAATATATATTTAGTATTTTTAATATTTATATTTAATATTTTTCTAGATGAAAATAAATAATATTTGTATATAAAACTATATAAAAATTTATTTTTTATATAGTTAGTTGGTTTGATTATTTTGGTTATTTTTTTATTAAAAAAATAATGTTGATATTGAACTTACATAATTGATATTTTTACAAATGAAAGTAAATAATCGAGCTGAAATATAAGATTTCGTAACGAAATATTTTGTTCATTCAGTTTCGATCATTATGTGCAATTTGTCTAACATTAAGGTGCAACTTGGTAGTC